GCTAGGATTACAGGCGTGAGCCACCGCGCCCGGCTGGAAGTGAATACTTTTAAGGAGACAGTGCTCACTCAGAGGCATCATTTCTGAGATGCTGAGGAGAAAAGAGCAGTCATTTCTATACATTCTACCCGTGTTCATACGACATTTGGATAGAGCCCAGAGACTCCAGGCAAAGGGACAGGAGCTGGGCAGCTGCTCCAGGGATGCCACCACAGGGACAGAGCTCAGAGTTTCATCCGTAAGCATCAGTGGGCAGGCCTTCAGTACCAGGGGCCATTGTCACATGTGGGCACATTGTCATAGTGCCACCTCACCTCTGAAAGCTGATCATCGTACATACCTCCCTAAGCAACAGGAGGTGGGGAGAAGAAGAGAGTAGGGGATCTGGGCCCCCCGAGCACGGTTCCCAAAGAGGCCTCAGCAAGCTCTGGTCTCTGCAGGGAGAGGAAATGTAACACATTGCTCCTGGGCGAGGCAGACAGAGTGGAGCTACTGCCCTCCAACACCCTTGCACCTAGCAGGGGCTGCAAACTCAAATCCTTACAGTGGTCAGACAGTGATGTAAGTAGTTCCCGTAGGTGGGGATGAAACAATAGGGAGTTGTAGGGACCTGTGGCAAACTGGGACGCAAAAGCCCCACTCAGAGGGGGCAGCTGCTACTCACCACGGTGGATTAGTGTGAGGCTGGAATGCAAGCTCATCGTGGCCTGAGCTTCCTATTTTTTCAAGAGAAGCGGGATTGAAATTTTTCTGTGTAACCTTCAAATTTTTTAATATTGTCAAATAATTAAAAGCAACAACAGGCCAGGTACAGTGGCTCACACCTATAATTCCAGCACTTTGGGAGACTGAGGCAGGAGGATCACTTGAGTCTAGGAGTTTGAAACCAGCCTGGGCAACATAGCAAGACTCCATCTCTACAAAACATAGAAAAATTAGCTGGGCATGGTGGTGTGTGCCTGTACTCCCAGCTACTTTGGAGGCTGAGGCAGGAGGATTGCTTGAACCAAGGAGTTTGAGGTTATAGTGAGCTATGATGACATCACTACGCTTTAGCTGAGATGACAAAATGAGACCCTGTCTCTTAAAAAAAAAAGTGTTCTGGGGCCAGATTCAGCTGGCAGGCAGTGTGACCTCTCGAGGGGAGTCTGGAGGAGGTGCCTGCTGCTGTCAGGGGTGTGGGAGAGAAAGTGAAGGTGGCTTCCCCAGGCTTGTGAGAGGGATCAGTTCTGGAACTCCATGGCCTCCAGCCAACGCTGAGGAAGAAAGCCCTGATTTGGTTTAGATCCTGCAGATGTCCCCATCAAAGAATGCCAGAAGTGGTCTAATAGCCCCCAGGCCCAAATTCTCTCCCCAACAGAGGTTATGGGAGGCAGATAAGATAAGGTTTGCAGTTAGGCCCTAAGCCCTACTAGTTCTTACCCCCACGCCCCACCTTGGGTCCATAATCTAAGAATGTACATGACCTTCTAAACCCAGGCATTCAAGTCTGTATCAGCTGGGCCGGCAGCGTCCTTAGGGTTATTACCCACAGGGTGTCAGTGTGTTTAAGCATATTTTCCTATGCATATAAAATGTTTTCTTAATAATATAATATTTTGAAATGTGCCTGTTTTACTTAATGCTATGCTGTCAGCATTTTTCCTTGTTACCAGATATTCCTTCACAAAGTCGTTTTTTAATGGCTTCACCGTTTTTCATGCTATGGATGAAATCAGAATTTATTTAGCCTAGCCAGTATTGTTGTGTTGTTGGATAACTAGGAGTTTCCACTGTTTTCAGTTAATCAGTCATTCTGGGATGAATATCTTTTAACACATCTATAATTATTTTTGTAGGATAAATTCCTAGAAGTGAATTACTAGATGAAAGGTGTGCACATTTTTCTTACTTTTTTTTTATGGCAGTCTTAGAAAACTGATGCAAGGTGTGCACATTTTTAAGGGCTTGGATGCATAATATCACACTGCCCTCTGGAAAAGTTGGGCTAATTTATGCTCTCACCAGTAGGACGTGAGAAGATTTAATCCCACAGCTATTGCCAACACTGGGCATTGTCAGTAAAAAAATATATATGGAAGTATGAGGGCGTGTATACAAATACGCTAAGCAAACAGTGGTGGCTGATATGTAGCTCTTTAATCATTAGTGAGATTAAACACATTTTTGCATTTGTATATTTTAAACTTGCCTCTTCAAAACCACTCTTTCCCTGTCATTTTGAGATTGGTTAGTGAGCCCACCTTCAGGCCCAGGTCTCTCCCCAGGGTCCCCTCTTTCTGGACTGTTTCTGGCCTGAGTTCTGTCCCCCAGGCTTCTCCATGTCTTGGGCTTGGCCTCCAGGGCGGTCCCTGGACCTCCCTGAGCTGCTTGGAAGGATGCCTGGGGTCCAGGCCCAGCCTTCTCAGAGGCCGCTCCCCCTGGTGGCCAGGCCTTCCCTGCCCCTTCCCATGGAGAACTTGGTGCTCCCGGGGGCTGCTGGGGGCTGCTGGCAGGCAGAGGGCGTGGGTAAGCCTGGGAGGGCAGAGGACAAGCCTGACCGCTGCCTCCTCTCCCAGGATCCCTGTGAAGGAAATGCTCCCTGGCATCATTAAGCAGGGGGTTAATTGCTTAGAATCCCAGGGCCAGAACACAGCTGGTGACTTCCTCCTCGGAATGGGGATCTGCAGAGGGTCTGCCAAGAACCCCCAGCCAGCCCAGGTAAGCTGCTGAGGGGTTTGGGTCAGGACGGGGAGAGGGAGAGAGCCAGGGGCACTGTGGGGGAGGGCTTCCCTCTGCTACTCTCGTCCTTCTCTGTCTACAACCACCACAAACCCACTTTCCCAGGGCCCCTTGCACTCCGCTCCCTTTCCAGCCTGTCGCACAGGAACCTTTTGTGCACCACCTGCTTTCTACTTGCAGAAGGAGAGATGCTGCCCAGACAGCACCCAGTTCTCTCCTGAGATACAGCTGCAGTCAGCCTGTATGACGGGCAGCAGGGCAGCTGGGACTCCTGTGTGCACACAGGTGCAACATATGAGTGCTACACCTACGCCCAAACTAGAGCAGTCACGGAGACTCCAGCATGGACTAGCTCCCTGGCTGCCCGGGTCCATGTCCTGTTGTTCTCCCCACTCCCCCGGCATCCCCTGGTACATCCTGGATTGCCCTCTGGCCTTCCAGCTAAGCGCCCCTACCCCAATATTTTATGATGAAAAATGTCAAACATACAGAAAAATTAAAAGAATTGCATAGTGAATACCCATACATCTACCTTAGCTGCTACAATTATTTGTAGAAAATTCTATAAACATATACAGTATGTTTGCTTTATCACCCATCTACCTGTCTGCCCCATTCATCACTGCCCTTTTTGACCTGGTCTTTCTGGTCCCCATCTGGCAGGCATGGCTCTTCAGTGACCATCTCATCCAGCAGCAGGGGAAGTGCCTGGCTGCCACCTCCACCTTAATGTCTTCCCCTGGGTCCCCGGTCATACTACAGATGTGCAACCCAAGAGAAGGCAAGCAGGTAAGACTCCTCGCCCATGGGCACAGGTGGCCTGTAGCCTGGGGAACATGCAGTGGGGGTGGCAAACCCTGGGAAGAGGACCCCAGGTTGAGGCACATAGACTCAAATAAGCCCTCCAGAGTGAGGCTCTATGGGGGCCAAGTCAACATGTAGATCAAGCCTATTGTTTTACTCAGGAGGAAATACTTCTTTAGGTAAGTGTTTGTTTAATGTCCCACCAGGCTTGAGCTCCATGAAGACAGGGACTATTTGTCTTGTTAGTGTTGTATGCCTAGCCCCTTACAACCACCACAGCCAAAGCACTGACCTGGGAGCCCCTTCTGTGACTCCGTGATGGGAGAACTTGGGTCCCCTCCACTGCCCCACCCTTCATCCCTGCAAAGTTCCCACTAGAGAGAATAGGTAACCGGCCTCACAGGTCAGAAGCTTAGGGCTGCAGGAAGAAGAAAGCTTGTTTGCAGAAGTAAAAGATTCACCTAGGCCAGGACTCACAGACTCAAGGGCCTGCAGGAAGGTGATGGGCAAACCCCTGTAGGAGAACAGTTGGAACCGGACAGGAACCATGTCGAGGACTGGAGAGCAAGAGCCCCATCTTGAGCAGAGAGCAAATCCTCAGCCCCATCCAGCTGAGGCCACATGAGGAAATGAGCCCAGCATCTAAATAGAAGCTGGAAATGCACATTTGTATATAGCAACTAAGCCAAATTTTATTTATTTATTTTTATTTTTTAGAGACAGGGTCTTGCTCTGTTACCCAGGCTAGAGTGCAGGGCAGATCATAGCTCACTGCAACCTCAAACTCCTGGGCTCAAGTGATCCTCCAGCCTGCCAAGTAGCTGGGACTACAGGCACATGACAGCTAACTATTTTTAAAAATTTTTTAGAGACCGGGTCTTGCTATGTTGCCCAGGCTGGTCTTGAACTTCTTGCCTCAAGCAATCCTCCACCTTAGTCCCCCAAGGTGCTGGGATTACAGGCATGAGCCTGGCCTCACGTTTTAAATAAACACTGTGGGCCTCTGCTTTGCCTCCTCTGATCTAGACAGTAACATCCTGCCAAATGCAGAAGCAGGAGTCCATGGAGAGGGCAGGGCTTAAAGCTTATGGAGGTGGGGGCAGCCTCTTACATAAGGGACACACAGCCTGGTTGAAGTGAGGGGACATGAACTAGGCATATATAGGGCTGGGTACATACATGTGAAATAAAGTGCATCATTTTTAGTCATTATTTTCTCATCTCCCTCCTTCCCTCTCTCCCTTCCTCCTAGAAATGGAGGAGAAAAGGATCTTTCATCCAGCATTCAGTCAGCGGCCTCTGCCTGGAGACGAAGCCTGCCCAGCTGGTGACCAGCAAGTGTCAGGCTGACGCCCAGGCCCAGCAGTGGCAGCTGCTGCCCCACACATGACGGTAGCCCTGGGGCCTCCTGTACCATTTGCATGAGACTTTGGGACCGGAAGTGGGTGAGGGGTGGGGGAGAGCAAAGCAGGCCGTTTCCATCTCCTCGAATCTCTGCCGGCATCATCAGCAAACACCCCCCACGACACGCGTGGCTCCACAGCTTGTTCCGGGAGGGCACGGGGGACACGCCCGATGCCCTCTGTGCCATCCCAGGCTTGCACCAGGAGAGGAGATGGTCAGGGTGCCGGACTGTTGCTGGGCAGAGACTGACAGGTGCCCCTGGCCCTTTGTCCTCTCCCTTGACGCTTCCTGGTGCCCAGATCTCCCCTTGTTGCCTGGGGAGGGCCCAGACAGAAGCCCACATAGGGGCCCAGTTGGGCCTGCCTGTGGGGACAGGCACGAGAGGAGAAAGTGGGCAATGTGGATGGAGAGGCCGAAGTCTGGGAGCAGAAAGAAGGAAAGGAGAAGGGCAAGTAAAGACCAGGTAGGAGGTGAGAAGCTCAGCGACCTGCCAGAGATGCCACGCCCAGGGAATGCTGGGTGGGGCGTGGGAGGGATGGGATTCCCAGGAGCAAAAGATGGGGACTTTGCAAACAACCTATATGGAAGAGCACAAAGCAACCAAAGAATAGGTCTCTTCACCAGGATGTAGTTCCTGCCATGCTTCACCAGCCCAAGGGCTTGGGCCCAACACTGGAACTCCCGTCCTGACCTGTGGGTGCCCACGTTCTCAGCAAGAGCCTACAGAGGGATCTTTAGTGGAAGACTTGGGGCACAGTTTATTAAGCAGACTGCGTATCTGCCTGGCCCTGTGTCTGGCTGGTTCATCTCTCTCGGGCCTTAAAGACGAGCTGGTGCCCTGTCCCCCTCCCCCACATCTGGGCCCACTGGGAGGACAGGCAGCCCCATCCTCCTTCGTGGTTTTCAACTCTTGCTTTCTCAAAGATCTCTGCCTCTGTCAATCCAGCATCATGGGTGAGGGTGGCCGGGAACAACGGGACCTCATTTCTGGAGCATAAACTTCCCCTAAGTCGTTAGGGGCTCAACCATCCAGGCTAAACTTCATCCTTGTTCCCCTCCCCACAACAGGAGGGGTTTCCTCATCCTTGTTCCCCTCCCCACAACAGGAGGGGTCTCTTCATCCTTGTTCCCCTCCACACAACAGGAGGGGTTTCCTCGAAGGGTCAGCTACTGCCCAGGGCTGGAAGGCTGGCTGGTGGCTCCTGTTGGTGTAGAGAATCCCCAGTTTCTCCTCACAGCCACTGGGAACTACCACACCTACCCCATAGCCTCGTCTTGGGACAACCTCTGCTATTCCCATGCCCTTCTCCCCCATCTCGCTGGCTAAGGCAGTGTGATTTTGAGCAAATGACTGTTGTTAACCGGATCCCTGGGGGTCTTCACCTTGAAGCAAACCAGCCTGGAGTGGACACATTTACTCTAGAAGCCCCTAGTCTTTCATAGACCAATGATTCACGTACGCATAGGGAGTTTATGCATTCCAGAGGGTGTAGGAATTTCCAGAAATTGTCCCCAAAATATTGCATGTGTGTGCATATATGCACTTCCCTGGGGAGAGGGTTCATGGATTTCCTCAGCTTCTTAAAGAGGTCCCTGATCCCCAAAGGGTCTGAACCTCAGTTCTAGATTGGAGCCACTGTCCACCCAACCTGCCATCCCTCAGTCTCCCTCCCTGCTGTACCCAAACCCCCATGGCCTGCTCCCTCGATGTGGTCCATGGGTCAGGAGCCAAGTGTGTGTGGTCTGCAGCACCTGCTCTGGAGGGTTCTCCAGTAGTGTCCTCTCACCTGCTGACTCCACCAGTGTCCTCTGAGCAGTGCTCCTGTGCCCAGGCGTGCGTCCCCCTGCACTCACCGGTGCACTCACACTGCTCCAGTCCTCTGTCGTGATGTTTTGTCCATGCCATCTGCGGGCCTCGGATCCCTGTTCACCTGGGAGGCCTGCTGCAGCTTAGGACAGAACTGGGCCAAGGGCAAAGGCGTCTCTGCAGAAGATGAGCCAGAAGGCCTGGGCCATGCTCGGGCATGGACCTACTGGGATGGGGAACGTGGACTGCTCTTGTTGAATGTACGAGGACTGCTGCTCAGAGGGCCTTTGAGAGAGGGTCTCTCCCTCATTTCCTGTGGTCATACTATGCCAGGCCCTGCACTGGCCAGCCGTCCTTTGTGGCAATTCAGCCCTATTCTGTTTTTGCTTTTCTTCTTCTTGACCAAAGCATGTGCCACTAGCTGTCCTTGAGGACCCCGTCTTTATGAAACACACACCTGGAATAAAACCACTTCTTACATGGTCACGTGCACCAGCGCCTTCCTTCCCGACTCCAGGCCACACCCTTCACCGCCACCCTCCTGCCTCGCAGGGAAGGTCAAGGCCTCTGTCCTGTAAGAGTAAAACAGTACACGCACGTCTAGCCCTCTCCCGCACCTGACAGCTTGCTCCTCGGCCTCCACGGGCTGTCCTGGGGGAGCCGGCAAGTGGCCCCCCTGCAGGACCAGGCCTGGGACCAGAACCCAGGAACCAGCTCAGGCCAGGCTGAGCTCACGCTCCTGTTGCTTCACCACAGGGCCTTACTTAGGGCTTGGAAATGGAAATCAAAGGGCTTCCCTGAATGGCGATGGCCTGCCACCATGCCTGCTTTTGGGCAGCCCTCTCTCTGTCCCTGGGAGCCAGCCCTGTGCCCTCGGAGCTGCCCTTCCCCTCCCCTACCACACAAGGCGGCAGTGGGGAAAACTCAGGCAGGACACTTCCTGAGTGAAAACAGCAAAATAATTCCAAAAAGAGTCTTACCAGACTAGCCTTGCTTGATTGGGTAGCAGATGCTCTGTCTAATGTTTCCATGGAAACCAATGGAAAAACCCCATCATTTCTGTGATCAGAAACCCAGGTAAAAATAAACGCTGCTTCACCGCACATATGAACTGCCGTCGGCAGGCTGGTGCACTGCTAACTTCTAGACGCAGCCATTTCCACCCTCACCCCCATCTTGTTCCACCTACTGATCCGGGATTCCCCAGAACTTCTGACCCCCAGGCCTGAGGGGCCAGAGCCTAGCCCTAGCTGGCTGCAGAGCACACAGTTTGGCCATAGTATCCGGCTTGGTCTGGGCTCAGGAGGCAAGTCACTGCAGAAGATCCTGGTTGCAGTTTCCATGCCCCCATCTGTCCCCCAGTCCTCCCAGGGAGCACAGCCCCCTGCCCACCACCTCCTCTGGCCCCTCCTGGCCAGGCTGGGCCCCCTGTCCAGTTTCCATCTATTTTCACTCCCAGCCTGAAGAGCTCTGGTGCTGGCATCTCCTGAGTCCGGCTCTCTTGCTTGCTCTCTTCCAAACCCACATCCCCACAGGCCCATTTTGTCTCCCACCCCCTTTTTTCCTGGGAACTGGGGTTGTCCTCAGCAAAGGCCTTCAGGCAGGCCACTGGCAGCAGGCCTCAGATAACCGGCAGGAGAGTGCCCAGAGCACAGGGGTGGGGCTCAGGACACGTCTGCACTGGGCCTGCCTCCCGCTTCTCCAGCGGAGAGCAGTTTTGGATCTCTGGGCCTCTGCGACTTGGCTCTTACCCCTGGCCCCTCAGGAGGGCTCTCCCCACTCGCAGTTGGGAAAAATAACCTGGACATCATTGTCCTCCAAGGGCTCCGCACCCGAGGCCTGTGGGGAATGTTTCCAGCACCGGACAGGGCGTGGTCCTCTCCCACCAGGGAATGGGAAAGGAAACCTGGAAAGGGGAGGCCTGAGTTCATAATGTCCACAATTCCATTCCCAACAATGTTCTCAATGTGTTTGGTATTTGTGTGTCCCCTGTGATGGTCTGAGTCAGTTTTCCTCCAGAAGGGAGGGGGCCCCGGCAGCTTTTGTTATGGGAAGAGGTCTTTACTGCCAGGCACTTGGGAAACGCCTGGAAGTGGAGCAGGGGAGAGGCTGGCTCTCTCTTGCCTGGTAGCCGGGCTGAGTGGCTGAGCTGGGGTCCTCAAACTTTTTAAAGGCTCTAGAGCAGGGGTCCTCAAACTTTTTAAACAGGGGGCCAGTTCACTGTCCCTCAGACCGTTGGAGAGTGTGTACTGTGGCCCCGGGACGAGTTGGCTGCTAAGAAGGGGCACCTGCGGCAAAAACACCCTGCCGGTCGGATAAATGTCCTAGGCGGGTGGCATGTGGCCCAAGGGCCATAGTTTGAGGATGCCTGTCCTAGAGGCATCTGAGGACAGCCCTCTCCTGTTGCATTCAACCCCACGAGGCACGGGGAAGGGTGCACTAGGGGCATGGACGCTAAAGATTCACCTCCACTCCACCATTTGCTGGCCGTGTGATTGTGAATGATCGTGAATGAGTTATTTCATCTCAGCCTTGGTCTCTCCCTGCACCGGAGGGCCACAGGTCCCGCAGCCCTGTCAGGGAGCTACCGAGCCCCAGGTCCCTGGCCCAGGGATGACTCTGCTGTCCTGAGCCTTGGTCTCTGTGGGGGCAGAAGAGTGGGGGCTTGTTAACATTGAATCAGGCCCCAGCAGGTGGTGGGGCCGCAGGTGGAGCAGCTGCGGGGCACTGGAACTGTCTCCTGGCTGTGCTGAGGCCTTGGTCCTGCAGCCATCAGGTGGGGGCTTGGGACTGACCTCTTTCATTCTGATGGATGCTGAGAAGGTGAGCAGGCTCTGGAAGAGGTTAGAGCCCTTGGGGGCGGCCCTCATAGACCACGCAGGCTCTCGCACCTGTGCATCATCATCACGCTCACCATCAAGCCCTCAGTGGCCTGCTGGACACTCACCCACAAAGGACATGGAATGATCTTAGAGGAGTCCCATGAACTACTGATGGTCAAGGCTGTCCAGCACCTGACACCAGCCAGCCAGGCCAACCTCAGCACTCATCCTCTCTTCCCCACCCTGCCAGCCAGCCAGAATGACCTGGGTCCTGGTTTTTAAAGTCACTTTCTGCCTTCTCTTGTTTGTGCTTTTGCCTTGTTTGTTCCTTCTCTTGTTTGTTCCTTCTGCCCCCACCTTGTTATCTCCGTGGGTTGAACGCTACCCGGTTTCCCAGCCAAACACTGCTTCCGCAAGGGAACCCCTCCCGATCTCACGCCCGTCTCAGGAGAATCTCTCTGGCTTGCTTCCTCGGCGTTCTGAGTGTTCCTCCCCAGCCTCAGCCATCACCCTCCTCCGAGCGCTGTGACATGCACCTGTCCCCTCTAGTCTTGTCTTTTCTGTTAGACTGTGGCACCTCACTAACAGGAACTGTGCCTACTCTAGCTTCACACCTCCCACAACCACAGCACACAGCCTGCTTCTCAGACTCACGGCAAATGTTTGCTTGCTGAATGAAGGAGTTAAAGCATCCCAGCTGGGGTTGTCTTCGTTGTTGTTTGTGCCTAATGATAAAGCATTCTTGCATGTAGGAATTAGTACATTGCATACAAAAAGCACTGTGTGCATATTTGTTCATTTTCCCTCTCGCTTCTTAAAAGCTTCGTATCTTTACAATTCCACCTTATACTTATTAGCTGGTTTCTAAATTCTCAACAACAATGTGTTGGCAATGCTGAGGGCTGACACAGATTGAGCATGTTCTGGATACCCTGAATCTTGATAAGGCTACCATACACACCCTGATGGGGTCAGTCCTGGTAACGCACACTTTATGGATGAGGAGTGGAGGCCCTGGCAGGAGAAACTTGCCCAAAGATAAATAGCTAGGTTTAAACTCAGTCCCCCAGGAGTATGTGTCGGT